TTTACATAAGGGTGCGCTTCGACCCATTCGGGCGTGTGCCATTACGCCCTCACACGCATAAACCGATCGATCTCGCTCGGAGAATGGCGAACCAATTGGGAAAAATCACAAAAAACTACAGTTTTTATTTATTCCAAAACAAGAGACCAAGCGACATTTATTGGCAGACATGAGGACGACGGAGAAAAATCAGAGCAAAAGAGTAGAATTAGGCAAGGGTCGAAAAGCGCTCAGTCTCTCCGATGGGCATCGGTGAGGTGAGCCCAACTGGCACGCTTGCAGGGTTGGATGGTATCCGAGCTCTTGGGATGACGTCTAGCAAACGAATAAATATAAAAGCACTAGTAGATGTCATGTACAGCGGTTGGGACCGTTATGCGATATCGATGGGGAATTGTACACGTAGATATTCGAAAGAGGCTAGTCCATGGGTCATATCCGTTTATGGTTTTTCTTGATAAAGTGGGAGATGTTCCAGCGAGAGGTTCTTGATAGATCCAGCGTCAAAGAGGATGACACCTTCTAGTTCCTCGTTCGCCTCCTCTTCATCTTTCAGCTCCTCATATTCCTCGCTAGCTCGATTCTGCCACCATCTGAAACCAATGACGATGAACACGTACACCATTCTGTATTGGACAACTCGGTCAATACAAGCTGATTGAACGGAGATAAAACGAGGGCAATGATCTCATACATACCGGATCAGCACGCCAAAACCACAGCCAACCACAAAGGCCAAGGCTCGTCCTTCCCAGGGTGATAAAGAATAGATAGCACGTTGCAAGCGCCTGGTGAAGGAGGCCGGTCTTCGTGGTTGCCAACAACCATCCGCCTGCTGCCATCGGTGAGGACCCATTGCTCCCCTCTGCAAACGTTCATGAGTCGACTAAATCATTTTTAATCTGATAGGAAAACGTACCACTCGTGTGGGAGGAGGACCACCCATCGAAGCGGGTCGGTAGGCAGGAGTCTTTACTGGATGAGGAAGAGCGGGCTCCGCAAAGGCGGTAGTAGAGCCGACGCGAGGGCTGCTACTATTGCCCAAAATAGCTTGGAAACCACACGGAGGTCGTTCGATGGCAGCAAGGCCAAAGACGTCCCGGACCCAGTCATGGAAGCGGTCCCATTTGGCCCTAAACGAGTTCGTATACTGTTCACACATATCTTGTTGTTCTAATTGAGTTATAATTATCTTTTTCATTAGCTCGTCCATGTCGTCTAGACGCGGACTAGGTAGGGCCGTCCATTCGTCTTCCGGGCGCATGGCAATGCTGTCTGAGTCCTTGACGGCGGTAGCAGGATCGGTCTCGCTCGAGGCCTCGTTGGATGATGGTCCGGATTCACCAATGAGGATTCGTAGCTCCTCCTCGAGGACCTTTAGAGGATCGTCTTCTATGGTACCCGTCTCTACATTCGCGTGGGCGCCCAACAGGCCGATCCTTACTGAACGGAGAAAGGCCGCGACTTCATCGTTGGGCACATCGTGAGGTTCTACGACTTTGAGAGGTGCTGCACTAACGGTGAGAGCTGAGCGAGGGTTTGTCGAACGAGATAACAGGACAAAAGAGTCAGCGCCACCTTTCTCCAACAACAGAGACGAACGTTTGCAAGCTAAACTCACTCGATAAGACGCTGACGCTGCCCAGCAGCAACACTGTGCTGAGGGGACGCATAAGAGGTTGGGTTCAAGTTGTGCGAGGGAGACGGTTGGTCAGAAATAGACGGCTATTGTGGGAAGCTCTAAAGACAGAACACTGCCGCCATCCACTATGGGTGAGAACGGTGCGTCCTCAAACTCGACAGAATGATAGCTAGGAGTAAAATAGTATTCGATTGATGCTTAAAATTTGCGATACAACAATAAAGCAACATTCGGACGGGACATCTCGGCTCAGTCTGTGGCTTTGAACGCTCCCAATCCGAGCTTGGTTTTCTTCATGACCTGACGAATGATGAGATTGGAATAGTAATGAGAGATAAATCTGTACATACTGCGGTTAACGGTGCATCCAGGCCACCTTGCTTGCCGATCCTGTCGCCCTCCGACCATCTGAAATCGTGAACCCGTCAATACTCTACACCGGCGATCAAAAGAACACACAAACCCCATCTGTGCCAACAATCTATACCCAATATTCGTTTCGTCAAGTTTGGCGGCCTTGTGTCCAATCACCTCGCCTTCCTGGATGCCTTTCATGACATCCCCTCCCCGCCTCTTGTCACCCTTTCGCTTCAAAATTGAATCCATCTTTCGCTCGTTGACAGTATATGCACCCGTCTTGCTTGTACGACTGACTGTTATGATCTTGAGTTGTTGATTCTTCTTGCCGTCACTCGTACTCTTCAGGTTGAGCACCCTCGCCATCAAATGCACCTTTTCACGCATGGGCTTGTTGAGAGCTGGTAACTGGAATGATTTTCTGGCGCCAGGTCCAGTCGCCATCAAGAGATCCCTCATCATTTCTTCAATCTCCTCCAAATCGATATCCCGTTGCTTTCCCTTTCCTTTCACTTTACCATTTCCAAGGCCTCCATTTTCTTGCCTCTCTTGTTCTCTTGCCCGCTTCCTTTCCGCTTTCTTGTTCCTATCTCTCATCCATTGTTCGGCCAACAAGTCTGGAACATCTTTGACATTTTT